CTTCTTTACTGGAGTATGGAGACAAGCTTTAAGGTCAAGGAAACTATTTTGGAGAGCTTATAAGTTTTTAGATTGGCCATTGTTATTTACTTACAAATTAATTCAAATCAGTTTTCCACTGTATTTGTCCTTAAGTGCCAGTATGTCACAGATTTTGCATTGCTGAAAATGGCTTGAAAAGAAGAAGTATTGATAGCTATGAATTACAGAGACCATGAAATGGAGTAGGCTGTAGTTTTATAGTTTGGTCCCAGAGAGATGATGGGACCTCTGGAGTACAGGCAGTAGACCTATCATTTGGGAAGCATTAAATGAGAATCTATTCCAACTTTCAGCATCAGTGGACCAATAAATTTTCTAGACGTTTGAGAAGAAATAGGAGAACAGCTAATGCTAATGTTTACATTGCCATTGTTTGCTCTCACTATCAGTACTCCATACTTTATCACCAGTGGTTTGTACTTCTCACAAAGGAACTGTTTCTATTTAGCGGACTCGGGTGAATTCATTGTATTTGTTTACATGTCATAGCTTTGATTCTGGAGTAAATTTTCTATCATGAGTATTTAAAAAAGCCCCAAAACCTTGGAAGAATCAAGCAGCTGCACTGGATAAAGGACTATGCAAATTAGGTGTAAACTAGCATGTTTTCTAAGTCACAGTGTTCACTCAGTTGTCAGTTCAGAACATTTTATGTTAATTACAGAAAGTACTTTATTTCTTCACCTCTGACAGAGTCTTATCCTGCTTGCATCAAAAGTCAGTAGCAATTTAGTTTTTGACTGCCATGTTAGAAGCATTGGGAATTGGCTGTAGAAATGTATAATGAATATTTTTAGAGGCAAAAAAAGGAAATTAATTCCTTGTATACAGAAGCATTACTTGCTGTACCAGAGCTGAATTTAGCTTAATACAATTTTCTGAACTCAAGGGTATTTTCAATCTTATTGTATGTTTTAGTGTTGATTTCAACCTGTGAGTGCTACTTTGCTAGTGGTATAAAAATACTTCAAAAAATGCAGATATCCTAGTATAAGATTTCTTTGTTAAATCAGTTTCAGGAAATAGCTGCAGATGAAATGGTCTTATAATTGCAAATGAAACCTGACGGAATGTTACAAAGCTGGGAATAGCCACTATGCCTGTTTCTTTTAAAGAAATGTTATAATGTTTTAGCAGGGGCTGAGGACAAGCCTTTACTGGAGAGAGAGAGATAATCATAGTTTACAGCTTGCTGGGCTCATGAAAAGAGTCTATCATATATATTTAATTTTTTGATGTACATTGTGCAATGTACATGCTTGGCATAAGAACAAATATCTGTGATTTCATAATATGCAATGCTTTTAAAAATGTTGACAGTTTTATTTTCAAGCTCTAATGTTTTCCTTCTGCATGTGAGCAAAGAGAAAGCGTTCAACACGGGAACTAAAACCATTATTCTGTATTAGTAAATAAGAGTTAAATAATGCACATGAGTCCCCTCTTCCCTATCAGGACACTGTTCTCTATGGTGGACAGAGACCTGGGTGCACCAGTGAGTGGCAGATGGTCTTGTAGTGGATATAACCAATCTACAATTACCAAACTTGCCTCTGGCCTGACAGGACACAGTGGGAACTGAAACTAATAAAGTCCTGCTACTTTTCTTGTAATTCGCTCCATTGGTGCTTTTTAGTCAGCTCTTATTTGCCAGAATTGAGTTTATGCACTCTGGTTGTACACAGAAATAATGATCTGTGGTCATCAACCGTGTAAAAAATGTATCTTAGAAATTATTACAGACCCATTTAAGTGAACAAACAGGCAAAACAGGATGGCTTCACATTTCACATTAGGAGAAGCTTGGTAAATCCCAGCTGCTTTGCGAAGTTCATGAACTAGATTTCAGTAATCTGAAACGTGGATTTCTGGAAACTTTTTGCCCTTGAAACTTTTGCATTTATTTATTTTTCCAAATTAACATTTGAATGAGTCTTTTCTAAACTTAGGAGAGTAAACCAGAGGAATCGATACACCACAAACTTCTGTTAAAGTCTGGCAAACAGCAGCGGTGGGAGTGTAGTGCCTGTTGAGCAATGGAATATCTTGTGGTAGTAGCCTAGTTATAAATATTTGATGATAGAGCAAGGCAAAGCTGTGGGTAAGAACTTTAATGAACCACCTGATGTACGAACAAAAAGCAGACAAGTAGTGGGGCACATGAGTTCTGTGGTCTGTCTATCAGGCCTGCTACAACTGAAGAAGTTGCACACCTAAACCCCTGTTTTATCCAGCTGTCATTAGGCCTGATACAAGTTATATTTCCTTGCAAGTCATGCTTAACTGACATCCTCTTCTCACCTACTGATATTTGCTTTAACACCCCAGTGTATGCTCAAGTCTGAGACAACTGTTGCTAATAACTTTTGAAAAGTACCCATGGATGTCCAGACAAACAAATGTCAGGTCTATGGCCTGTAAATGGCAAAACAAGAGGTCAAATTCAGTATAGTGAAAAAGGAAAATTTTTAATATAAAAATTTCATACAGAAGTATCTTCACAATGAGTAAGAGGAAAAAGAGGAGAGAGAAATATAGAATGCAGTAAAAATAAAGAACAGCAAAGTACAAAGAGGGAATACATTTTTTTAAAAAGTTTTTGTAGGTGGTGAAAAATTACATACAAATCTTAGCTATACACCTGCATCCTAGTTCCCATGTTTCATGTGTGTATTATAGGTGAACGTCACAAACCGCACTGTGTAGTGTATGACTGCATCATCTGAATCAAGAGTACAGAAGTAATCTGGAGTCTTACTGTCATTCCTATAGTACCTACCTTTTTCGACAAAGGAATGCTTACAAAGAAATCAGTCTACTAACTCTGTCAAAATTCTGAATATAGCAGTTGCGGATGACCATGAGTAAGCTTGTTTAAAAAAAGACCCCAAGATTTATGCACTTGCACTTTGTGTATGTGTGTGCTTATCTGTCAATAAATCCAATCATGAGGTAGAGATCTCAACTAAATTATTATACATTTTATGGAAACAAGCAGCCAGGCAGGAGGACCCTGCTAATGCCCCTGCAGAGGGATAAACTGCAGCCTGAAACCAATCGTATTAGGCTCAGTTTCAAAATGTCAATCTAGAGAAAGCAAGGTTTTGCGGCTTCTGTGGGACGTGTTTGACTTGGACACAGCACAGCTCCCAGAGTGGTGGGAACATTCCCATATCATGCAGTCCTATAAAGCAAACAAATTATCCACAGGCTTACGTAAGATGGTCTAGGTCTGTGTAATTTCTTATACTTTCTCCATATAATGTTGTTTCTGTCAAATAAATGCCAAAATTGTGACATTTCCCATACAACAGTAAAAGAACAGACCAATATAATTATTGGCAAGGAAAGCAGTTTTAACTTTTCAGCTGCTGGTTAATTATTCCTACTCCAAAATAGTCTCAGAATTTTAAAGAACTGGTCTAGTAACACACTGAAGCTGCTGACAGTTGAAAGCTATCTACAGGATACCTGGGAAGGAAAATGCAGGGAGGTATTTCCTATCTGTACTGAAATACATTAGCAGTGAAGAGCTTATGTTGAAACAGAATTATTTTACTCAATACAAACTTCCTTAAATAGAGATGTTTGAAATGTATAAAGCAAATGAATGAAGAAGAATAAACAAGGTTGCCAGGCAATACTGGCAGCCTCACAGTTACTGTGACTATTAGCAACCTCTGTCAGGGAGGGAAAGATTACTGTTCCCCTCTGTTAGTGGCATTTGTGATATGGAACAGAAGTTCTTTATTTCCATGGGGAAAAGCCATAGAGGATCAGTTAGAAAAATGTTTTGTATCTTTTTTTTTTTCTTTTGTGGGGAGATAGCAATAATATTTTGCTGGACAGGAATATATTATCAATGGGAGAAAAAAGGTTTCATCTGCAGCTTTGTGCTCAGAAGGTGGGAAACTCCTTGAGACTGTGGGTTAATGGCTATTTCAAACAATAAACTAACTGGCTGTGTATTACCAGATAGTTTGTAGATCTTTGGGAAAAGTCTTTGTCCTCATCACAGATGGCTGTTTTTTTTTGATGGGGCCAGGAAAGGGGTAAGAAGAGGAATGCGTGGACTTGATTTGCAAAAACTATTTGAAAATATTAATTCTGTATTTGAGTGGAAATTTACAAAATCCTGAACTCCTCACATTATCATTAGTTACACTGAACTTAGCAGCTTGCAGGGTTACAGCAAAATAAGATATAGATTGTACTTAAGTATAGAAATTTGATTAGAAAGTTAATCCACTGTTTTAGAGAATGCTGTTGTTTAAAGTTATCTTATTTTGGATTTAGTTTTGACAAGACATTTAAATTTAGTTTTGCCAAAATAATTGCTGGTTTTCTAGACTGGTCAGTTAGTTAAGTAACAGACAAAGATTTCTATAGTGCTCATTAAAGAATGATACAAGAACAGGCACGCAACAGCCAAATTAATCTGTACTGTTGACAGTGCTCTAGAGATATTTATATGTAATTGCAGGGTCCTCCTTCAGTACGAGGAAAAAATTGTTAAATTATGATGACTAACCTAAGTTTTGAGGCAGTAATGCTACTTAGATTATTTATTATTAATGCTACTATTAAATTCCATTATTTTAAACAGTTCTTTATGAATAATTTGTTTTAAAAATCTGTTTCAAATTGAAAAGCCAATGTAATTTACAGATCAGCTTTTAAAAATACATGATTTTTAACAACATTAACCAGTTTTGGTGGCTGGTACAAGTGTTGTTCTGCTAAAATTATCTTGTTATTGTTTACTAAAATATTTTTTTAATACTACTGTAGGAAGATTTCAGGGTGTAAGTTATCAAAAGAGTAAATGCCACATTGATGGTAAAGCCTGGCTTAGCCACCAACACCAATGCTTATGGAGTATGTTTCTGTAGTTTACAGCCATCTGTGTAACAATGCCCTAGGGATATTTTGAAGGATGTAAATGGATACATTTTTATATAGATTATACATATATTTATCCAAAGTTTTTGTAGTCACTGACGATATCTACTTTTGGGGTTAAAACCAGTAGTCCTCAAACAGCACACAGAGGCAATACACCCATGCAGGTCCTCAGGGCAGATATGGCATTCATTTAGTCAAGGCATACATTTGGCAGGTTTAAAATCCAGAAAATTCTTAGCTCTACTGTGGCTTTGTCATTCCTTACAGTTATATGAGAGGCTCCAATTACTACTCTAGCATTTGTGCAGATCTGTGTTGGTAAGAATACATTTTCTCCACCCTCTAAACCTCAACCTGATTATCCTTCCCAAAACATTGTGCCTCTAAGGAAATATAGGAAAACTTACAGAATCAGCAATTTTATTTCTCATTAGAGTTGGTGTTACCCTTTTAAACAAAGAAATGCACCCATTCTTTGGGACTGAGTTTTAATATTAATGTGGAAGCAATCGGAGCCAACCCATACCATGAACAGCTGGACTCCAATGGTATGCCTAAAAAAATACTACTTTGTTTTTTACATATCATGAATTACAGAAATGTTAGTGATCTATTAACTCTACCTTGGAGTTTAAAATATATAGAGATATACATTTGTGTTTGTTTGTGTGTATAACCCAATGGCAAAACTTCCATTTATCTCTGGCAAAATAAGGGTGATGCTCTGAATCTTCTGAATACCATGTCAGTACTCTCACTGGTAGGAGGATTTAGGTGTACGCCATGAGAGCTCTCCTCACAAAGACTTGCTCTTTTACAAGAATTCACAAATTCAATAACAGAATCATTGAAAAACATTGATATTATCGATACTAATGAAAAAGCCAAACAGCAGGATGAGCCCACTGTATTCAGTCTAAATTCTGTAAATAGGAGCAATTTAATCTTCATCACTTTTTTGTTTGTTTGTAACATGCAGGAGAGATGAAGAATGATCTCTGGAAAAGCACACAATTTTTAATGCTTTATGGACCACTGGCTACTTGTAGTTACTACAGTGTAAACCAGTTGACTGAATTGGAGCTCTCCCAGTGTAACAGAGTAGAATTTGGCTGTAAGGTAACCTTGTTAATAAACAAGTAAGGTGGCTAACAAACAAATATGGTCTTTATAATGGCAAATTCAGTTAAGCTGGTTTCTTTTGTTAGTATTGTACAATAGCAATACATAATATTTCTTATTTAGAAACTGGTTTCATGCATGGATGTCATTTAAGAAATCTGTATTACTTTAAGTATATCGAAAACTTGAGTGAGAGAATTTGCCAGAGTGGGGACCCAAAGCAATTACATACAAAGATCTGACATCGTCATGGTATTGGAAGTGCCTGTAGCATAAAAGGATGAAATTTAGATATTTGTGACAAACCAGTGCGGTTTATGATTGTTGCTCTGCAATACGTGTGTGTTCTAAAGCTCCATCCCTGCACTGTGAGCCATCTGTAGGTGCACCTTAAATCCTAGCCGAGACCACCCCTCTCTGTCTGAAGGCAGTTACTTAAGCGTGTAAATATCTGTAAGAGCAGGAGAGCGAGCATTTGATTTTATATTGCTGAAGTAACTAACTTAACTTTAGGTCCCAACTAGTATAACGTGATGAGCCGTAATATATACCATGTGTCTGTGGTGTTAACGAAACGCCGAGAGTTCACCTCGTGGAGCACCTCCCGCCCGGAGGAGTTATCCCGGCGGGACAGCGGTACTTCCCGCTGGGAAACGCGGTCTCCCGGCGGACACGCTTCCTGCCCCGGCCGGGAGCGCCGGGACTGGGACCTCCTTCCTTCCCTCCCTCCTCGCTGAGGGCGAGGTGAGGCCCCGCGCCCGGCCCTACCTGCGGCGGGGCTCCGGTCGGGGCGGCGGCAGGAAGGGGGCGGCGCGGC